ATCTGAGATGCGTGAGCTTCAATCTGAGGCAAGAATCGATCTGAGGCATAACATATATATGGAATTTTTAAGTTTTAACATATATTATTAAAAAGTAAGTATATTTTAATAAAATATAAAGTAAAATAAAAATTTATATAGCCTTAGTAGCTATAAATGTTTATAAAAGTATAATAAAAATATCATATAAAAGATGGTATCATAATAAATATTTTCAAACAATAAAAATAATTATTTTATGTCAGAATTTGTATTACCATCTTTAAACGCAAATATATCAAGATTCACTGATCCGTTTTCTATAATTTTAGGCTCGTTGGAAAGCCCTTGTTCTGGACTTTATAGGCGAAAAAAGAGCTCGCCGATTGAATCATTAGATCCGGAGATATTTACGTTTAAAGTTGAGGTATGAACTTTTTAACATGCTTAAATGCAAATATCTTGGGATCCACTGATCCATTTTTTATAAATTTAGGCTCTTTGGAAAGCCTTTGATCTGGTCTATATGAACGAAAAAAGAGCTTGCCGATTGGATCACTGGATCTGGAGATATTTACGTTTTAAGTTGAGATATAAATTTTTAACATATATAGTAAGTGCTAAAAATTATATTAATTTAAAAGAAATATTTACCAAATTATAGTATAATAACATTAAATAAAAATTTTTTAATACTCATTTCCAATTTACTGTATATTATATAGTATTTTGTATAATAAAAATGTAATAAAATTAATATTTTAATTAAAGGTAGACAAATCAGCCCATATGGCTTCTAACTTACATACAACTGTATTAATTAAAAAAAGAATTTTGATAATTGTTATACTAGTTAGATAAAAGTAGTGGTCTCTTTATATTTGTTAATTGAAAATTGCACATATTAACAGTGCTTGAAATTTTAATATATATTAACATAGATTTTGAATGACATAATATCAAAATTTCATACTTCTAACTTTTATACAGTTGTATTGATGAAAAAAATTTAAAAATTTCTGATTGATCGTTAAATTAAAAAAAATGGGGACTTTTAATGATATTGTTAATTTGTTATTATTTTTAGAAAAGACAAAAATATAAAAATTCATATATTTTTCTAAACTATATTCTTTATGATACAAAATAATTTTGAGAAAATGTGAAAGTACAGCACTGTTGTTTATAAAATTAATTTTCTTTTGATTTTTTCATAATTCATATAAAAATAAAAACTAAAAAAAAGAAATTTTGTATATATACATTAGCCAGGACACTGTACTGCTACATATTAAAATTTTAGGTATCATTGCTATGTACAATTCTAAATAAATTGACAGTATTGGACTATTTGCTCACTTTACTCACTTTTATATATAGTTAATTATCAAATTTTTGTTTTAAGTTTTTTCTAATTAAGAAAATTATATGAAGGCTAGAAATCTAAAATTTTGATATTATGTTCTTCAAAATCTATGTTATTATATATTAAAATTTCAAGCATTGTTATTATATGCAATTTTAAGAAATTAATATAATAGGATTCTGTTTACTTTTGTGCAAATAGTGTACTTTCTGTGTGTGCTTTTACACAATATTTTTTTTTTATCCTTTAGGAAGGAGAATTTTCAATTAAAAAAGTTTGAGAAAGAAAACTGGTGAATTATTATGGAAGTAAAAGCCAGACATAAATGGATTCTTCTAGTTCAGAATATCAAGAAAAGCCAAAAAGGGTGAGCAATACTACGCATATTATGTTACTTTGATACTTAATAATTGACTTTTTCTGATTCAGCCTAAAAGAAAATCTACCAATATTGATGATAACAGGATTTCAGATGAACAAATAGCCCATTTCAATCACATTTTCTGTAATCTAAACCCAGAAAAAATGTGGACCTTTAAATCTGGTCGTATTATTGAAAAAATAATTTATGAATATGCAAGAACTTTGAAATACGAGTTCTGTTTACACTCCTTCATTATTAGCAATATTGATAAAAAAGCAAAGTCATTATTTCGAAATGAAGAATGGAAAGAGATATTTTTTTCAAATTGCAAAAAAATGCCAAAAATTGACAAACTAGTTATTGAGCTTCTGAAAAAATATTCAGTAACTAATCTATCTTTATTTCAAAAAATTATTTTTAAGTCTTTCTTACTTACTAATGCTTTATACTTCAACAGGGAACACTTTAACTTAAATTATGTGAACCTTGTATATTGTGCCATACATACACTCTGGAAGGATGATGACAATTTCACTCTGGATTTATCAAAATTAGAGGGATAGTTTCAGCATAACATATGGAGTTTTATTATTGATCCTGCATTCTGTATTAATTTAAGGATTAATTTAATACGTAAAAAAGGTATGAGCCTAGCATCTAGCAATAGAAAGAATGATACAAGTTGTGACACAGATCATAAAACTTCATTTAATGATAGTCGTGATGTAGATTGAAAAAAAATTGGTAGGAAAGGGATTTTTAGGTTGAAAGGTGATAGGTTAGAATTTGGAGCTATTGAAGCGGAAAGAAAATGGGAAGATAGAAATGGAAGAAAATATATTACTGATAGTCTAAAACTAAAGCAAAATGTTAAAAGATATGCTAGTAGAACTTATAGCAAAATGTAAAGGCAATGAACAAATTGCTAAACAATTACAGACCGTTAGAATGTTAAATAGTAGCAATCGATTTTAACTTCTAACTATAGATGTTCTAATAGGATATATCTGTCAGGCTTAATGCCTTGACTTTTACGAAGTAGCTGGTTGTATAAATGATTCACCATTAGTATTCGTGATAAAAGATGTATTAAGGGTAAAGGCAATTATTATGCAGACATTGAAATTATATTTTAAAAAATTTTTAATTATATTTTAAATATAAATACTTTTTATAGGGTATGATACAGTAATACATAACTATAATAGACAAATATAGCTTGAACTTGAATTTTATTAATTAATGCCATAAGTCACTTTAGAGAATACAGAGTATTCTAAAAAGAATCACAACAAGTGCAGAACTAATAGAAAACAAAGAACAAATAATTTTCTGAAATTACAAATAAAAGAAAAGCTAAGATTATAAACCCCACCCTCTTTATATAAATAACTACGGTTACTCCCTCCAAATCTATTTCAAAATAGGTAAAGTCGACTATGCTATACGTAACCCATCCAGCGCCGTACCCACTCCTAGAATCGGTAAAGAACCTCCAAGCTACCATTAGCACTATCAGAAATGCATAAAATTCAATTTCCCCTATTTAACTACATATTATAGATAACAAACCTACTTCACAAAGGCCTCTGAGAACTTTTTAGTGTTATGCAATTCAGCTGATGAGAAACTTTTTAGTGTTATGCAATTCCCGAAAGGACATTCACCTCATTGCGAACAATCTTTTGGCCTAAGATCTACCTAGATAAGTCAATCCAATGATAGTCCAACATGTGACCACCATGATCAGTATACTACAAGAACTGCGGTACTCAATCTGTTACCCTTCTTATCACTCAAGTGATCATCGATTTTAAAAATTAGTAACACCAAGCCACCATGATGATCAAATTTTCCAGTATCCCCCATCCCAAAGAAAATAAGGTTACACTGAAAAAAGCGACCAAGAAAAACAAAAAGCAAAAAATAAAAACATAAATCTCAGGAAAACTCGAAGTGCAATGAGAAAAACCTGAGTAAAAAGTACCAAACATACATCTCAACTCCGTCTCCTTATTTTAGAAGATAACTCCCCTGTTAACAACATCAACTAGTAAGAAATACGTTTGTTAAAAGCTCCTTCCAAGAAATAATAGTCCAGCCTGTGAACCACTTGGCCAGTTAGACTTTAAAGGTGTAGGAACTAAGACGCATTACTTTTCAACCTTTCAGAAAGTCCAGAGGAATATTCGTATGGAACTGCCATCTTACGTCATTATTAGTAACTCCAAGACTTATGATAATGGTCCTAACTCAATATAAACCGTAAGGAGTTCAGGCAAAACTAAAGACCTCAGTAATAACTTCATATAACGTCGAAAAGTCTTTTTACTATCACTCAAGGCAAAAAATCCTCATATTTTTCATCCATGTCTTCTTGGAAAAAAATGGGTAGAGCCCAACAGGAGAGAAAGTACAATGATCAATATTACATAACTATAATAAGATCCTGGACATTTCTTATATAGATTATAACTGACTTTTTGTTAAAAAAAGTCCAATTTGCTCTTTTTTTATTTTCAGTTTTTTGCAATTATTTTGATATCCAGTAATCTGATTCATACAGATTTTTTTTTATTTTGTAGAGTTTGATGAGAGCTACAAAACAGAAAAAAGTTCACATAAATTGGACCACTGGATGCCAAAATAATCACAAAAAACCCAATTTTTTTTTTGAAATTTAGGGTCAATTTGTGAAAAGCCAACCTCTGAGTTGTATATGTAATGTTTGAGGTCCTACTATAACAGCAGAAATATCACGTGAAATTTAGGGATACAGGATAAATAGCATATACTTCCTGGAATTCTTTAAGATTTCACAAATTTTTATAGAAGTAAAATTATTTGAATGAAATCACGTTAGATAATCTTTATTCAAAAAGAAAGTTAGCAACAGTCAAAAATTTTTATTACTATGTACTGTTTTAAATTTATACTGCAAGTACTTTTATTTTATTATTTTGGCATCAAAAAATCTAAAAAAAATATATAAATTGAAAAAAAAAATGTATGAATTAAATTTATAAATAAATTATTAATTGATTCCACTTTATTTATTTATTTATTTTTTAAATTATTATATTTAAAGGAGAGTGGTACTAATCATTACAAAGAAAAATAAATTTACATAACCTAAATAAACAAAAAAGTGATTTAGATTATGATAATTCAGGTTGGTATTATCACAATATGTAGAATTAATCTGAATTATTATAAGTTTTAGCCAACATATTTTATTACAAATTTGGGCCAATTATATAAAAATCATGTAATTTCAAATACTTATAACTAATTATTTTTCAATTTAATAATATTTCTAATGATTTTAATAACAAATTCTTAAATTTTGAATACCTTATTAACCTACTAAAATTTGGATATTCTGGTGATATATATTTTAATAATTCATTTTGTTAATTAATTAAACCTTAATCTTATACATAATATATAATACTATTTTTACCTATAGTATTTAATATAAAACATATTTAAGATCCTTAAGATTTCTTGTGGGTAAAAAAATGAACCCATTTAATAAAACTTACTATCATTCTTACATAAAAAATATAAGGCCAAGAAAAATCATTTAATTTTTATTTTAATTACCTTAAGAACCTGTGTGGTGGCACTTTTGTGCATGTTTATACCTTATTTAAATAGGAATGATCAATCAATCTAGGATTATAAATAATTTAAACCGAAACTAAAACTTACCAATAAATTTCTGGGACCAAAACATCTTTATCACGTGGAGATTGGTTTAAAATCCATTTATTGCATTTATGACAAAGTGCTTCTTTCATACCAGTTTTTTTATTAACTCTTTCTGCAGTAGGTTGTGCAAATGGCCTCCCAGTAATAGAAGAAACACCATGTTGATAATTAAGATGATACCTAAAAAAACGTGAATTTTGAAAATAGTTTTATAAAAAAAAAGAGTATTAAATTGTACATCTTACCAGTAGGCTGAAATTTTTGTTTTAAGCCATCTCGCAGGTTCACAATGAGGACAAAGTCCTTCCTTTGATTTACCAACTCCACGTACCCACCGAGGAGTGTACCTAACCAAAATAGCGTAAAAGATTACAAATTAAATTAAAGGTACATAAATTTATAAATTCAAATAAAAAACTCACATATCTCCGTCAAATCGCGGCGGCTGTTTAGTCACTTCTGGACCATTATCTGGTGGGGGAGCTCGGTCTAAAGATCCAAATCTTAGTTCGTCTTGATTAGAACTGACATCAATTTCCATTCCTGAACTTTTGCTAGTAAAACTGCTATCATCGCTTTCATTGCTTTCATTATCACCCGACATAGGAGTATTTGGAAGAGCTAAATCAGTAGAATTTTGTTTTTGACTAGTTATACTAACTTTATTTATTTCTACTTTGTGGGGAGTGAGTTGCGGTGACAAAACTCCTTCGTCACCACCATTATTAAGATTTTGAGTGCTAATACTATGTAATGGAGAACCATTTTTCGATTTATTTTCGTTTTCTTTAACTAGGTTACATACTTTAATGCGTTTATGACCACTAAGTAGGTTATATGCTGCAACTTTGGTATCTGCATTTTTATCTGAACAGTTCTTACGTTTTGAGTTAAAATTCTTGCAATTGATACACAACCACTGAATGTCCATTGTTTCTATGGAAGGTTTTTCTCCTTTGCTGCAACATGCAACATGTTGAATAACATGACAATTTATGCAAGATACTAAATGTCCACCGATCTTTGAACATTTTTGACATTTCTCATATAGTGAAGAGTGAATTGTTGGTAAACTTGGAATATTAATATTTGGTGATGAGATTGATGGCGAAGTTATCGGCGTGGTACCAAATATACTTGAGATTGTCGATGAAGGAAGAAGTCTCAAGAATAATTGTAATACATTATCTTGATGGATATCTCGTACTTGCAAATCTTCATTCCGTGTCATTTTACGCAAAATTTGTAATACTGGTCGTTCTTGAGCCAATGGAATAAGTGCGAGTTTTAACTTGTGTAATGCACAATTAAGTTTTTCGTTATCTTTTTCTAAAGATTCATATCTTTCTAATTGTTTATTATGTTCCCGTGTGAGTCTAGTAACCGATTCTTTAAGCGCATTAGTAACTTGGTTTTGGCGAGTACGCGTTCTTTCTAAATTACGAATAGTATTATTTCTTTCTACAAAAATAATAGTAAACCTATTTATTCCAACGATCAATTATTGAGTATTATATATGTTAGTCTAATTTTAACTAATTATTACCTTCTTCACATAAAGCATATTGACATTCAAACTTTGAAGGTAAAGCTTCAATTTCTTCCTTCTCATTATCATTAATAGCGGTAATACTCGTAAATTCTCCAGAAGTAATAAGTTTTGGTTGTGTTGAAATGCAGTTATTTTCGATATGTGGCGCAGACGATCCGGCTAAACATGTGGTCATATTCATTTGAGGTCTGCAATTTGATTGCTTATAAAAATAATTTTCGTTAGTTTATTGAAAAAAAAAAGGATTGAAATGTTCATGAAACTTACTATTTGGTCCGATGCTTCCAATAGTAAATGCAAAGGATTCACTGGTGGAGTATGGTTAGTTTCGATATTGTTATTTAATGGTGTATGAGACTACAAAATAAATTTATTAATAAAAAAAATTAAATAGTAGAAAAATGCTTTAAATTTAATTACCGAATAGTTTTCACGTGGTGGCATACATTTTGAGCAGTACCATGGTCGATTGGGATCTTGAAATCCGCTTTTCATTAAGCACCCTGAAAGTATTAATTGAAAAAAACAATTACTTTAAAATTCATTATCTACTTGATAAGGAATTCCATAGAGTAACAACCTACCGGTATGGGAATAAACAATACAATTTGGTGAGGCGCAAGGTACCCAAGAATTGATATCTTGCGGATTTAAAGCGGAACGGCAAAAATAACAAGAATAACCGATTGGCTCCTGATTCTTTAATTAATTCATAGCTGTATTAGTAATTGTATATTTCCTTTAACATAAAAACTTGTATTGAATCGTAGATCTGTAATGTAGATCATAAGATCTTAGATTGCTCGACAAAAAAAAAAAGATTGCAGATGTCAAATCTCAAATTTGGGAATTGAGCAAGCGTGAAAAAATGTGTTAAAAATGTCACCAAAGTTGACGATTAAATTGGCAGATGATCATATCATAGTTTAATAGTTTAATATAAAAAAACAAAGAATTAAGAACTCTTTATTGGTAACACAACTCACCCAAAATGTTTGAGGATCTTTATAAATTTTCGTTACCGTTTCTCCGGAAGTGACTTGACCAACAACTCTTGCATAAGACTGTTCATTATTAAATGAAGTTGTATATGGAGTTGTTTTATGATAAGAAAGTGCACTAGAACTGTGAATCTTGCTGTTTCCAGTATCATTTTTGAAGTGAAACTGTCCTCCTGAAGAAAACAAAATATTGTAACATTTAATTTAGTTTATAAATAGACCTTTTTTTTCGTTCTACTTTTTTTTACCTCTCAAGCTTTCAGTAGAGTCTATGGGGTACATTTATTAAAACGAGAACTTTTGGAGATAGAGAAAAGTTTATATGCGTCGAAAAATTTTATCAAGATATGCGTAACACTTTTCAACGCGTTTACGTAAGTTTACGAAAATTTTAGAAAAAGGTAGATATTTAATAAGTTGCAAAGAAAGGATAAAGGAGTTAATAAACACAAATGGAAACCATCAAGTTTAATAAATACTGTTACCTGAACAATGGGCACGGCGCACATGCAACCAAGTAAGAAAAAAAGTATAATGATTAATTGTTTTTACTATTTTTTGAGTAAAAAAATTTAGTGTGAAAAAAAATAAGGTATAGTCATAAGAGAGAACAAAATATTATTATTGAAAATCCGAATATTCTATATAGACTATATATACAAAAATCAAACCAGTTTTTATTGATAAGATTACTTTTACGCTAATCGATGGGAAAAATTGGGAAATATAATGCGGTAATTAAATCTATAAACATTTATTTTATGTATTTTGATATTTTTAACAAACTATTTTTTCGGAGGTTCAAATAAATCTCTTCATTGTGATTGATTGTGATAATTGACGACTACATTTTTATTTTAATACCTCAGCGCATGATGCAACAATTTGATATTGATCCTTTATCATGCGCTTCTTATGCTAATCGTTATTGATGCACATCTCCTTGATAAATGATATGTACATTTGTTGAAAAAAAAACCAGCATTGATGCTCGAAATCTTTGATTGATGTATTATAAAACAATTATAGTTTTTTTTCTCTAACTAATGGTACCTGCGTTTTATTTAACAATCGCGTTAACAATGTAACTATTTAACGCAAATAATATGTTAAATATCACCTGACTTGTAAGATAGTTAGCAAAACAATTGATCGTTATTTTTGGTTAATTTCTTAAATATTTCAAACAAAAAAAAAAAAAATTATTTTTATTTTTTTATATAATAAAATATTATTATACAAAAAATTTCATTAACTTTGTTAAATTTTATATTGTTCAGAGTCCGTAAAATCAAACATATTAAATATATTCAAAGGTTTTGATACAAACAATAATAATTGTTTTTAAATCACTTTGATGCGAAAAAGAACTTCCATATCAATTCTTTATACATTATATCCTTAATACATTCTATTGAAAATATCTCTAGAATATTATAAGGTGAAAAGGAGATAAAAAGGAACGAAACAAAAATTATCAAACCCGAACTTTAAATAACAATGTGTTTAATTACCATCATATTGATGTTTTGTTCCACAAAATTGGATTTTCTCCTAATTTTTATTCCTGTTATCTTAACTTAAAGGTAGCTTGATGACTATTTAAACGTAGATGAATAATAGATAAATTGTATCATTTTTAATGTGACTATGATTGCCTTAACAGATCTTTTCGTGAAGCATATGCTTGTTTGGCCCATGCTTTCATATCGACATCGACATCTTCGTACTTTTTCAAAAAGGGATGTTCCTAAAATAATTAATAATGTTGAATAAATATGTTTGTCTGAAAATTCCTCACTTAAAAATTCTTACCAGTAGTTGTGCGTAAGTAAGCCGATTTTGAGGATTTTTATTCAAGCTGATAATGAAATAAAAGAAAGAAAGAAAGAAGAAAAGAAAAAGAAAAAAAAAGAAAGGAAAATGTACGATTTAATAGCTTATAAAATAATAATAATGGTAGAATATTTTTTTTATGCAAATTATTACCATTGTGCTACAAAATCGCGACATTCTGCAGAAAAATTATCTTCAGGTAAGGAAGGAGGATCTCCTTGAACAATGGCATTTAATTGAGCGAATAAACCAACTCTCTCGTTCTTATCCGGAACAGGATAAGGATATTTACCAGTACCAAGTTCAAGCATAGATAGCCCAAGTGACCAAACGTCAGATTGTACTGTATATGTACTTGCATCACCTTGAATTATTCTTTCTGGCTATAATATGTATTGAATTTTAATAATCAATGTTAATATTACAATATAATTAATAATAATCATACCGCCATATAACTTTGGCACCCGATATTGGTTTTTGCGCGTGATTGTATTAATTGGCCGGAAACTCCAAAGTCACATAATTTCACTTCTCCTTCCATATTTACAAGAACATTTGTGGGTTTCACATCTAAAAACAAATGATGATGAGCAATATGATACATATTATAGTGAATCTCGATAAACCGGACTCATTATACCCGGTTTATTGAGATTGCTTGTGTTTATTTATCAATTGATTGCCTCCATAATGAGTATTAAAGTACTTAAATAACATACCACGGTGTATAATGTTTAATGAATCTTTTAGAAACTTTAACCCTTTTACCATCTATTAATACAAAAGAATTGTTATCAGATGAATGCTTACTATTACTTTTTGGACATAAAAAAGATACCATACCGCAAATGTAATTTTGGCGAGAACGTCTTCAGGAATACCCCCTCCGTATAATTTATCCAATGATCCTGCGTCCATATATTCCATACAATAATAAACACAAGACTCAATGAAGAAAGCACCATAAAATTCAACAATATAGGAACTTCGAGATTGATGAAGGATATCCAGCTCCATTAGTATTTGATTTAATTTAGCTTCATCAAGTTCAAGACGAATTTCCTAAAAAGAAAGATATAAACGTCTGTTTGGAAATTCCTTTGAATAAACCTATCGTATTATTAAACAAAAACTAACCTTCATTGCCATAGTTACGTTGGTAGGCTTGTGAAACACCTTTTGTACTGTACCATATTGTCCTTTCCCGAGTTCTTCCAATAATTCAAACTCTTCCATATTAATTTTATAACTGTTACCATTACTAAAATCCACTCCTTGAGCATGTAAAACTGCCTTTCCATCAAAATTAAGTTTTCCAGAAGGATCGCTAACGAAAAAAAACAGATAGAATAGTATGAATATATATTAAGAATTTACAATTAAGCTTTTATAATATAATACTAACACAAACGGCGAAAAGTTGGCAAACGGCGTTTTTGTTGGACCGCCCATGGCTTCTGGTAGTTTCATCACAGGCCCTTTTCTCGTTGTTCGCATTTTAGTTTCTTTCTTTAATTTGGACGCCGTTTGAATTCCACCTGGAGTAGTAAAAGGGGACTTGTTTGGGACAGGTCTAACCGGAGTAGAGACTTCGGCTTTGCTGTCAGTAACAGCCAAAGAACTTTGTTCGTTGAGATCCAAACCGGCAATATTAATTGGTAAACTTTTTTAAAAAAGATCGAATATAATCGAAAAGTTGAAATTTTTGAATAAATTAGAACGTCGAAAAACAAAATTGTAAAGTTGGTTGTAATATAATTAATTAATCATAAACTTTCTCGAACTATAATTTGCTATTTTTATATGCACCGGATATTTTTACGGCAAATTTGAAACTTTAACTTATTATTGTTAGCCGCATATATGCATATAGATAGTATATAGTTAATATATTATATAAACTTCTCAATCAGAAATAATAAATTGCTGGAAAAATTAGGTCTAAGTACATAAGTACATACACTACTACTAATTTATATCAACTATTTAAATCCTCTTCATAAGATACCAGTAACTACAGGTATTTTATGGTTTCTAAATCAGGTATTTTATACAAATTTCAAACCAATACCTAGGGGTATTATAGGTGAGTGCTAAATGAATGTTCATTTAGTCAATTAATTATATCAATAAAAAAAAAGGTTTTATTTATTATAAACAAATGTAAATAATTAACAAATACGGAAGAAATAAAATTTAATAAACTATATTGATTGAAGTTGAGTGTTATATATATATTTGGCTATAACTATGCTAAACTATTTAAATCTGACTTTACTGTCCCGGTCTTAATTCTTGAAATATAGGGATCTAATCTCACATACCAATACAAAATATAAACTATATGAACTTATCCTTCGTTTCGATGACATTAAAAAAAAAATATAACAAGGAATAACTAACAAATAAAATATAAAATTGCAAGATTGGGTCTGGTTGCTACAATTCCATGAATAAATAATTTTAATCATCCTCATGTGCATGATCAAAAAGATAGTTCGCTGCCATCTCTTCATTACGCTCACAAGCAAGGAAAGCTTCGATAGCGAGAGCGCGTTCAAATCCAAGGGCTTCCAGCTACCAATTATAATAACAATCATTAATACAGTTGTCTATTTAAAAATTAATTATTAACTTCCAATTTTACCCTATCAATTGCTTCCTTTTCTTCCTGTGTAACAGAAACGTATTGTGGAGGTGGGAGATTTCCTTCACGTGTTTCTTCACCACCGCCGCCACCTTCTTGCAAAATCCGGAGAAAGTTTGCAGGATCATTATTAATAAGCTGATATTCGATGTTAATGTAAAATAAGATTTAATTAATATGAAATGAATAGTTTATTGCAAATTAATAATACTATTAATTCACCTGCAACAATTGAGGATTTGAAGCTCCAATTTGTTGGACTAAATGTTGCAACAATGCCGGATTTTGTTGAACAAGTTGCCGCAATTGTTGAAGTTGTGGTTGATTTCTCAAACCAGCTAGTGCATCAACATTCCCACCTTGTTGCTGCTGTTGCTGCTGTTGCTGTTGTTGTGAAAATGCTTCAAACAGGTTTTGTGGTTGTGGTTGTGGTTGTGGTTGTGGTTGTGGTTGAGGTTGTGGTTGTGGTTGTGCTATGGAAATAATAAGTTTTTAATGTCAAATTCCTAAAAACTTTGGTATTTTAACTTCAAGATTAAAATTCTACCTGTTGTTGCACTAGTGTTGGTTGATACAGGTACTGGTTGGGTAGGTTGATTTGCTGTTTGTTCTGTGGCAGTAGGTTGCTGCTCATGTTGTGCAATGTCAGGAATACCCTAGTTACAGCATAAAATGACATTAAACCTAAAATTATTTTCATTTTTATCACTACTTTACTCTACTAATTGACACATACATTTATAAGATATTCAACAGCTCTATCTGGATTATTAAAACTAGCACGCATAGCCCTCGCAACTTGATCCCGATCATACCCCATCTCCATAATATAGTTAACAGCATTTTCATAGTCGGATCCAGTAACTTAACAGCATTAATATAAATTTAGAGATATAGATCATCTAATTCATTCATAATTTAAAAAATATTTGAATACCTAGAGTGCTAGCATTGCTGTTCCATTCTGGAGATTGTATAGATTGTGTAGTGGCTGGTACGGTTGTTGCCGTAATTGATGCAGGAGGGACTGAAGGACTTGTATCAGCGACCTCAGTACTTGATTTCGAAGTAACTTCGGATCTGCTTGAACTTCCCGATGGTTTGATCGGTGTTTTTGGCTACAAGAAAATTATACATATACTTGTTAAGGTTCTCTGTGTCGAAGTGGAATTATATATTTATATTTATTTATTAAATTCTTAAATTACCTTGGGAACCTTAGAAACCATTAATACTAAAAACTCATTCTCTGAAATGGGATATTCAGATATTTTCTTTTCATCATTCAAAACTTTTCCTGAACAAAGAAATTTACGTATTTCAATTAAGATGGATAGACCATATAACAAATCATAATAAAAAACAATATCATACCTTTAGAGATGAGCTTTTGGAGAGACACAGCATGTCCTTGACTTTCTTCAATTTTTTGCTTTAACTGAAGAATCTAAAAATATATTTACACAAATGTTAATAAATTTGTTAATTATTAAACCTAAAACACTTTATCTACCGTTGTTTCATTAGGATCAACATCTAATTGAAACTGTGTCTGTTGCAAGGTTTTAAACGTGATCTTCATTTTAACGACAGTTAAGTCTTCTCACTTAGTCTTTCGATCAGTGCTGTCTTAAGATTTTCGACAAGGTATTTATATTACGAAATTTTCATACCTAGAATCTTACGTGTTCTGTGTATCGTAAGACCGCTGCGTCGTTGATAGAAAGCTTTTTATTAGTCATAGCTGCGCATAAAAGGAGAAAAAACTCTCACGTGCAGTATGAATATGCACAATCGATATTTACGCGAGTACTTTTCTCTCTCATTCTTAGTACAAGGAAAAAATTGCATAATCATGAATGAAAGGTAAATTAGGACAATAAACCTATTCCACACCGTCATATACCTCGTCAAGGTGTATTTTGATTTATTTTACTTATTTTTAAGTATGTACCAAACCAGTGAAAATATCAGTGTTTGGATAGTAGGTGGGGAGCAATTAAAAAAAATATTCAGGTACGATCAAATTATATTTCGTGAAAATAATAACAAACATTTCAATTCAAGGATGTGTATTATTTGATTGGAAAAAAAAATGCAAAATTTTTTTTTTGGCAGAATTTTGAGAATTTTGACAATTAACTTTCTGCTTATATTCAAGAAACCTATTGCCACGTGAAGTGCCATCTAAAATGTTTTATAATGCATCTTTTGCTCCGAATTATAAATTTTTATCAAATATCAAATATATTTTAACATTGCACAATTTACAATGTAATAAAAATTTAAAATATAATCATTTGCTAAATGAATAAATAGTGTTTCCTGAATCCTGATGTTTATAAATTAAAGAACTAAATACATACAATAAGAAATACTATTGTAGTTTATCAGAATAAAATAAAAGAGCTTAAATCAGAATTTTTGTATTGTAAAAGCATATTAAAAAGATTTAGCGAGAAAGATTCTTGAAGAGAAGGCTTACCTATCAAATCATAAAAGCTTAGAATAAGATTTAAAACAAAAATCAGAATTTAAAGATATACTAAAATTTCATGTTGCGGGGACCAATACTCGGCGCAGTATACGCAGTCAAAAAAATTACGGGTAAATCGGGCAGTGGCGAGATTAGTAACTCCGGAGCTAATTCGATATAAAAGATTCCATTATTTCGTTTGGTCTCCTCTAAGCAAAATGAGTAGCGGCAAAAGAGAATATCAGCTCGAAGACGGAAAGTTGATTTTAGATCGAGTACGCAACTATTTCTGCGTTCCGTATACGAAACCACCGACAAATATCGAACTTTCTAAGGATGATCAATTATATATAGACATTGCCGCTTATTTTGGAGATCAACTAAAAGAAGTTTTTTGTAAAATTACTTCGATTTCAATCTTACAAAATCGAACTGTTTGGGAAAGGTAGATATGATGTAATAGCACACTGGAGTTTTTGGAATTGTCTTAAACCAGGCTTTTTTCTCCTTTCAAATAGGTATCAACAATATAAGGATTTACAACAAGCCATAGAAAAAGAGAGAGAAGCGCGGTTTCAAACTAATTTTGAAACGGCGTTTAAGGATACAGTCTTATTTCATGGAACACAACCAGATAACGTTATATCTATATTGGAACACGGTTTAGTACGTGTAATTATTTTTCCTTTGATAATTTAATAACAATTTATTAATTTTGTTAATTATCTTTGATTGGAAAAAAAGGAGCTAATTATTTTTTCTTGAACTAAAGGATGGTCGTTTCTCAAAGGAATATGGTAATTGCGGACCCGCAATATATTTATCTCCGAGTTTTGTAAAATGTGATATTTTTGCTAGTCGCTGTAACCCTACAAAAAGAGCATTAGTCGTTTGCGTAACTGCCCTTGGAAAAATATTCGATAACACGATAAGTAAGACTGTAAACCCAAATACCAAGTATCCCCCAAAGGGATTTCACAGTGTCAAACATTATGTTTCCACGGCCGACGAATATGTAGTGTACGATAACGACCAAGTACTTCCGATTTTGGCAATATATTATGATAAATCTGAGGAAAATAACCTTCACCCTTTCATACCAGCAATTAGTTCAATAGCGGGATTTAATTCATTTGCTGCATCAAATCAAAGTAATTTTAAAATGCCTATAAACACGTCACCCCACTTTAATTCTGCCTTTGGTTTAAACTCTAATGGATTTAATTATACATCACATCACCCATCGACTACTTTCAATCTTCCTCCGCTTCCAACGAATTTTAATCGAAATGTACCTCAATTACCATCTATTACACTGTTTACTCCATTTGCTAAGTCCTCTATTTCAAAATCTACGAATGTACAAACAGAGAGTCAATGGACTATTCGTAAAGCACAAGGAATGGTACAACAATGGGAACGACAGGTTAATTTATCAGGAAAAATCTCCAACTTTTATGGTACAGCGATGGCTGATAAACAATTCTGGCCAGTAAAACCAAATGGAATTTATCCACACCTAAAAACATATTTAGATCTTGTTATGTCAAAACAACCAAATATGTCTTCTTCGGAATTAGACCAGGGTTTCATTAATATGTTAAAAAATCTTAATAGCTATGAAGGAATTGTATATGCTAGAAGGAAAAATGTTGAAATGTCAAGATCTATTAATTTGAATCAGGTCATTTCTTTGGCTACACAAGATCGACTTCAAGAAGCAGCTGCATCACAAGAAAGCTGTACTATATGTGCAGAATCGGTAGTAACTTTTAATCAACCTTTAGATGTTGTAAAAATGAACAATTGCCCCCACATTTTTCACAGATCTTGTATAGAGACATGGTTGTATATGCCTTCATCACAAATGATATGTCCAAATTGTAAGACTCCTTGCCATGATCCTATGGCACCACCTCCAATAGGCCCGATGCCGGATGGAGAGATGGCATATTCCTTTAGTGAAAAATTTGGTGCTTGGTTCATATGTTATTCAATTCCCCATGGGGCACAACTTCCTTGTCATGCAGCACCAGGAAAACCTTTTAAAGGTGCTACTCGAACCGCTGTTTGTCCGATTTATTTAAAATGGGGTCCACTTTTATTCATACGTATGGTCGCAGCTTTTTATTATCATCACACCTTTACAGTAGGCACTTCTCTTACAACTAACATGTCTGATGTTATAACTTGGAATGGTATACATCATAAGACATCAATCGATGGTGGTTTTGGTTTCCCTGATTCAACTTACGAAGACCGAGTTTCTTTGGAGTTGGATGGGAAAGGAATTCTTTTGTTTTTAAGAGATCTGATATAGTTATCAAAAAAAATAATTATTCAGATATTTATATATTTTATCCAATGCATGAACATTTGGTATATTGATTATTATGCAAAAGAGTGAAAGACAACCAAAATAAATGAATAAATTGTTTATGAATTTTGTATTCCTGTAATAAAATATTCTGATTGGAAAGACAAATAGGAAATACTTGTAATTTTCTCAATGATAGTTCTATTAAGTACTATTTCTATAATGATCAATTATTGAAATCATTTTTTACAAAAACAAATTACCAATTTTCAACACATCAATAAATTGAATTAATTATCTTTCGATTTATAAGAGTAATATTATTGTTTTTATTGTTTTTGATCATAGAAAGTAGATTTAATTCATCAAAATCAATGGCTCTGATTATAAATTGTATTTTTATATAAACTTATTTTATAAAGTTAGATTTATTTCTAATAATTATTTTTGTAAAAATTTTCTATATATTATATATTTTTAATTCTCTCGCATAAATTGATGTATTATATGTTATTTGCATATTTTATGATTGTTAAAATAAATAGAAAAATTTATTTTGCTACATATATTTTTATATATAAAATCACTATAAACTATCATTCAAATAAAATGTAGAAATATGCTTTTTTGCATCTATTCATTTTTTGATTCTTGATTATTTTGACTTTCTTTAAGTAAACCATTAATACGTTCTTGCAAGTCTTGTTTTTCAATTGACAATTGAGAATATCGTTGTTGAAGTTCAGACTCACGCTTGCTAAGGTAATCAACTTCATTTTGGATAGCCTAAATATTAATAATAAAGAAATTAATGATATCACACAGTAAGTTACAGAATACTATATATAAATAATAAGGGTACCTCAATTCGCTTGGGTATTGCATTTTTCTCGGATATATTTAACGATTGAAAGGAATTCAATTCAATTTTTGCTTGATCAATTTCTTCAAATATTTCCGTAATTTTTTTTGATAAAGTTCGTGATCGTGTCTTCATTTATTTATTATAAATGTTATAAATGGATTATTGATAAATGGATGAATTAAAAAATAATAAACAATAATAATAATTACCAGATAACCGGCTAACGTAATATTTAACTTCTTTTCTAATTTGGATGCTTTAGTGGTGTCTTTAACCATAATATTACGGTTTATCTTTTTATTTTATTTTTAAAGAAATAAATTAATATCATAAAAATATTATTTAATTTGACAATAATACTAAAAGGAGACTTACTTCTAGCTGCTTTTGTGAATTGTCAGTTTCAGCATTTTCATGCAATAGATGCCACATATCATCATGAGAATCATCGGGTTCAGGAATGGTAAAATTATTAATAGCAAGTTCTTCTTCAATGGCTTGTCTTGCCTGCAATATAAAATTAGTAACCAATTAAATTCAGCTAAAATAAATAAATATATATATAATACTTTACTTTATCCATTAAATCATCAGAAAATTCTTCAAAGGATTCGTCTACATCTTTACCAACAATTTTACTTCCATGAACGGGATACATGATTGCATCATGGTTCAGTAATTGTATCATTTCTGTGTTTATTAATCTTTCGATTTCAAAAAGTTCACTAGGAGAATCTTCAGATAAAGAAGCTTCTAGAAATGATTTTGCATTGATTTGAATAGGACGGGGAAGATCGCGTTGAATAGCTTGAGATCTACGTAAAAGTCGTGCTTGCTCTATATCAGTAAATAATAATCAATTTTTAATTGGTTGAATTATCTTTTTTTATTCTAAAAGACGATACCAGAAAATTTTAAATTATAACCTTCTTCTTCAAGTTGGGCTTTGATTTTTTTATCCCTTTCACTAGCATCTTCTTCTATTCCTTTCATATCATCTTCCTTATCTTCCTGCATTTCAATTTCAGGCAAAACGATTTCAAAATCATTTTTTGGTGCTGGCAAATTAGATAGTCCAGCTCTAAGTTGCTTTATTGTTGCAGCACTGGCTGTTATATTTAATAACATTAGCATAATTTATTTAATTATTTTAAGAATGTATCATTCCTTTGAAATATACCTGAACCTGGCGTTCTTGGCGTTTTAAGAGACAATATAGTAGCAGGAGTTCTTGGTGTTTGCATAGACCCACTAGGTGTCCTTGGAGTTCTTAATGGTAAACTAGTAGATGGTGTATAGTCACCAAGTGAAGCAGTTTCTCCTACAACAGCTTTAGTGTTTTCCCCAGCAAACCCAATTTTTACAATCTAACAAATGATATACAATGAAGTTAATTTATAATTTAAGAGAAATAAGCTAAAAATTTATTAACCTACCTCTTCAAGTTCATTCTCTCCTACTTGTGGAGCTGGAAGAACAAGTTTTCTTCTCTTACTAATTTGTTCAGCCTGTTTAAGCTTATTCAATTGAGAATTTTTGGCAGGTACAAAATTAATCGGACCACCCTCATTTTCGCCCTTATTAGTTTTTTGCTTTTTCCCTTTTTTCTCATCATTAGCATCAGATCTTCGTTTACCATCTAGTTTATTAGAGAGTCCTTGATCTAACTGACGATTTTTTTCCTCGGAAATATCATAAAATCCAGGAGCTGGTTTCTTTTCGAATGGTATATCAGCATTATAATCCATCCCTTTTTTCTTCTTTTTAACTTTTAAACTAAAAAAAAAAAATTGAATGAAATAAGAATAAATACCTACAAATATAATAATTAATAAAATATAAAAGTAGTAAAGCTTACTCAATTCCGGCAGCTTTTAACTCTCGTCGCTTTTGTAGCGAAGCTAATCGTCTAGCTTCTTCTAATTGTTTTTCACGCGCTTTACGTTTAGCTTTTTTACCCTGAGTATTGGCCAAACGAGCTCGAGCCTCTGATAACATTTCCTTTTCTTTAGAAAGGGTCGAAATCGTTAGTGATTAGATAGATAAATTTCTAATAAAGAAGTTATAATATAATTACCATCCTCATCCATATCAACAGGATCTGGCCTTGCAGGTTTAGTTTCAGGATCAGGATCAATTTCTCCAGGCCTCAATCTTCGAACATCATCAGCACTAGGACCTGCATCTCCAACTGGCCCTGTTAAACCCAGATCTGCTCCTTCCTTAGCTTCAGCTTCATCTAATAATCTTTGATATCGTTCAAGACATTGAGATGGTGTCCTTCCAACGATAGGCGCAATTGTACGCCATTGTGTCGGCATCAATTTAGCAAGGTGAAGTAATTTTTCATCCTCTTCTTTTGACCACTCAGTCTAGATTTCGAAAACAAATTTGCATTATTAATATTATATCTAATATATGAATGAAAAATTTTCAAACTATTACAGGACATTGGATTTATACAGAAAAGCTTAACTAAAAACGACAATTTAAAAACATATATCCATATCAGCAATAAATAAGATAATAACTTACTTTTTTAATACTGGGGTCTAACCATTCATACCACCTAGCTTTACATTGTTTTGGTGATTTTCTAACTAATAACGAAGATATACGGGCCCACTGGTTTTTGCCATATTTGCTAACTGCAGCCTTCAAGATCTCGTCTATTATTACATTACCAACCAATGAACTTTTATTATACTTCGTGCTTAAAATTAAAAATACGATCACTAAACTTACCTTCAGTATTTTTCCAAATACCACCCTTTATTATTATCCTCATTTTGTGAAATTTTATTTTGAGAACGGATTACTTCGTTATTTACTGTTACTCCTCCTTATGTAATATTTGAGTCATGTGATATTTACTAATTTTATCATTAAGGATCGACAAATAATATATTTTTTTTTTTTCCTTTAAATTGCAAATGCCGGTTCAATGAAATATTTATAGAAATGTAGAAATAGAAATTTTATATTTGCAAAATTTGGTTTAAAATCACATTTGTGCTTGTTTTATTTTTATTCATAAATTATTGAAACTGCATAGAAACATGAATTATATTATCAAACTGCTCTAGGTCTTTTTGCCACTTGTCCTGTATACTCATAATTGCTAGCATTTATTTATAAAAAAAAAAGAAAAAAAAAGGATAAATGGATAAATAAAATAAAATAAACCAATCATAAATTGATAATTAAAAATTGCAAATAAACGTAGCTAACTTACCCCGGTAGACTGCATATATTGTTGGATCTTTTGATTCCAGTTATTTGTCCGGTAGTTCCCAAAGTATTCGTACCTTGATTATTTTCGTTCCTAGCTCCATTGTAATTGAAATTATCCTTACCGTTATTCTTGGAACAATTCGGACTATCAACTTTTTGAGATATTCTCGATGGTTCAATATTAACTGTATTGGTCCACGTAGAATTAGAATTGGACGAAAAACTGTAAGTATTATCTTTTAAAAAGGGTCGAATATGCTTATTTTTGTCATTAATAGGATTAAACTGTGAAGCCTCATTAGTCTTATCCAACGTAGGTTTAGATAACAACTTATTGTGTTCCATCTGCAAGGACTGATTCAATGATGAGACTTGAAGACTTTGTGTAATACGTGTTGGATAAGGTGAATGACTCGATTGTTCAATCGAAGCATTATTAAAACTTAATTCGCAATAAAATTAATAATTTTGTGAAATTATCTAGAAATTTATAAGTTAAATGAATATAAAAAACAAAATCAATGTTACCAATCCAGCCTATCTTCATTTGGTGAGTGCTCGACAAATGAATCAATTTGCGGTGATAGATTGTCGAATTCAGAAAACAAATGCGCATATTGAGAGTCCAAGGCTAAAAAATAATTACACTATATAAATAAATTATTAATTTTGCTTATTCTCAAAGTAAACATAACTTACCATCATATTGCGCATTAATCGCAGACGGGCTTAAATTGTTTCCTATACCTATTGAAACCAATTTTATTAGTATTTTCTAAAGAATTTTTTAAAAAAAAAAAAAAAAAAAAAAATTTTTAAACAAACCTTCCGTATTGGTTATCTTAGTTTGTATATTTGGCGTTAATAATAAATTATCAGAAACCTTATTACTTGGATCATTAATTGTTAATCGTTCTGAATTTAAGGATGTTTCCGGATTTTCTATACTATTTATGAAATTTTGGGCTAGTTTTTGAGTAATCTCTTGATTTAAATATATATTTCCATCTGATTTTGTGTTATTTATTGTTATAGGAGGTTCGGGAATAGGTATTACTTTTGGAGCGAATTCTGCTTTCCTATATAACTCGTCAACAGCAAATTTTGACTTGAAAACAATTTGAATATAATTTTTAATTAATCTGATTAAATTCTCTTGAAGTTTATTTACACCTACCGAAGGTACTTTCACTTTAGCTATTTCCTGTCCATATTTTTTATCATACATGCAATTACCCATCAAATTTCCGAACATTCTTAAAGCACGCTTTAGTGCATCCGTCGCCGCTTCTTTTTTTGCCTTTCAGGTCAAACATTTCTCATTATATGATTTGATCAAAATATCCAAAAAAAAAAATTTTTTTTTAATCTACCTTTTCGAAAGCGCCTGCCTTGCTTTTCAAATTATCGCAAGAACCATATCCAATATCCTATGTATAAGTATATTCACTAGTATCCCAATTATCTAATAACGCGTTCCACAAACTATAATTTTTACCTCATGAAATGTCCCATCCTTGAGGGTTACTCTGCAGGTTACCGCTACGCCAATAGAAAACTTACCGGTATCGTGATTGCAATCAACCTGAGATTGTGAAATTAGAAACTGGGAAATTGATCAAAGATTTTGAAAAATAAAACTAACGTACAAAATCGACCGTTATATCAACTATACTTGACGACCATCCATTAAAACCAAAGACATCATTAGCTAAATTCATTGCTTTCCATCCTTCTAAATAAATTACTTTGCCACCTTAAACGTAATTTGTATTACTTTGTCACAAAAATAAACTCTCTCAAATTCACTATGCAACAAATATGAAGAATTAAATGTCGTTTTTCACCTCCGGGACCTGGACGACTGCTAACATACTCTGGTCCTAATTGTTTAGAGAGGTTAGCTTGAATGGTTTTGTATTCCTCTAAGGTGTAAGAGGTAGCTTCCCAAACTGGAGACGCGTTGCCTGTTTCTTTATCATTCTTAAATGGTCTTTGTTGGTGTCCCCCGTTAAGTCGCATGATAAACCAAACTTTAAATTTTAAAATATATTAGTGCGCCAAAGTGTGTAACACTTATCGATTTAAAGTTTAGACTTTAGACTTACAGACCGAGATCAAATGTTTACTTTTTTTCACGAGGAACGTGGAGATGTGGCGCAGCATATACAACGAACAATCTACCTAGTTGGATATTACTTAATATAGAAATCATTAATGCCGATTGGCGATCATATATGAATTTTCGCTTTCACGTGTTCTATATCAAATTTTTACAATTTATATTTAATATATAGCACAGTTATTGAATAGTGATATTGAAATATTATCCAAAATTCCAAATTAACTTTGCAGTTTAGTGATATTTTCAAAAGCATATTTGTATTTCCTATTAAATTAACATATTTTTATTCTTTTATAATTCTAAATTATTATTGCTGTTTTCTTTTTAAATATTAAAAAGAGAAATCATTTATATATTAAAAAGTTTTATTTATAATATTTTAGATTAAAGTACAAATTATTGGATTAAGTCTTTTAATAATAAAAATACTTTATAAAAGCTTATTATTATTATTATTATTATTATTTTTAAAAAAAAATGAATTATAAAAATTATATATAGGTTTTAATTTGTATAATTTGTTATTCATTGCTAGTAATAAGAAAATATATCTTTAAAAATTAAAATGAAAAATTTTAACTGCTAAAACTTGTCAAATAATTTTGTTGTTTTAATTATACCCCTTTATCTTTTCAATCTTTTTATACAAGTTTTAATTCTGAAAAATTTTTATAGATGCATATTAGAAATAATTATACTAAAAAAATTTATGTAGTATGGATTTCTTCAGTATAAATCTTTTTCTTTTTGACTTCAAAAATCTGCCTTTTTGCATGGCAATAAAAAAATTATAAATCATATGCCAAATTAAAAATAATGTTGCAGCTCAATTCAGATATTATAAACAACATATTTAATTGTACGATTTTCATTTAAGGAGTAATGGTTATGAGATATTCTAATGCGTACAAAAAAAAAAATGAAAAAATTTTTCTATTGTTGCTTTTTTTTTAAATTAAAAATAAAATCTTTATAAACTAAAATGATTTATACAAAACAATCAATGTCAAACAAAAAGATAGGTCTAACATAAAATAATGATAATATTTTTTTTTTTTTTTTGCTACTCCTTTAATGATAACATTTAAACTGAATTTTTTGTTATAATGCTTATAGTGCTTTATACATAAAAATATTTATTGACTAACATCCATTAATAAATCATCAGGCGGTACGTAAGGCTTAACCAACATTTCCGAAAATTCCTTAATATCTTGTGTGCCGCGTATTTCTTTTGTTAAAAGAGGCATTAGCACAATATGGAAATCTTCATAAAGATCATAGATTTGATCCAAGTATTTTCGTTGCATCTTATGTCGAACTAAACATTGTTCACAATTGGAATCTTTAAAAATAAAAATAACATTAGAATGAATAATAGAATAAGTAAATAATAATAATAAAAAAAAATCTATATTTGATAATTATACCTTTCCGCGGGAATAATAGTTGATTTACAACGATATTGTGAGTATCAATTTGGTAAGTAGTCAATTCTTGAATCATACGTTCAGTCTCATAAAGAGACAAGAATTCGGAAATACATACACAGATAAATGTTGTCTTTTCCTGTATGTATAGAAAGTCATAAGTATCAGCCTCATTACAAAGACATAATATGTTTAGAACTTACTGGATCTTTAAATTGATTATTAACTTCTGTAATAATGGCACGCATCCCTTCAAGTTTTCCAAACATATCTTCTTGATTGGCGTTCAATCCCATCATACCCGACATCTATTGTAATAACATAATAATTATTAAATATATTTCTATCTTTTAAATAAAAAATTTTTTTTTTTTTCCTCTCTCATATAGTTCTTATTTCTAATTAATCAACCTTACTTGTTGAAACATTGGCCCAAACCGTCCACTTAATTGCGAAATTTTTGCCAGTGCTTTTTCTAAAACACTGGGAAAGCTCAAAAACCGCAATGTGTGACCAGTGGGCGCAGTATCAAAGATGATTACTGAATATTCCATTGTTTTTACTTGCCTGGAAATCGAATCATGATTTAAATAGACTAATTAGAAACAAGAAAGAAAATGAAAATGATTTACGAAGAAATTTTTTTTTTTTACTGAAAATTGCAAAAATTAAATAAAATATTTACTTCATGACTTCAGCGAATCCCATAGCCTCATCAACGCCAGGAATGGCAAATGCAAGGTCTTGCATCATAGCTCCCATAGCTCCACCACCTTGTTGTTCGGCTAAAAACATAAAACGAAAACCAAAATTAAAATTGATATTTAAACGATGCTAAACTAACTCACTTGTCAAATAATAAATAATATATACATTGATCCAGCATCTCTTGAATCGACGATGTTGGATCAATTTCCTGTATTAAGTTAAAAATAATTTCAAATATTCACATTAAATTGATGCGCTTGTAATCTAAGACAATAAAATTTGTTTAAAAAGCTCATAATACCATAGCGTATAAATTTGTAAACCCTTCTACTAATGTTGCCTCTTTGCTAAACTTTTGTCCGAAGGCATCGCTAAGATTATGTGCCGGGTCAGTTGATATCAGTAATACGGAATCTCTTACTTTACTTAATTGTACGGCGAGTGAACATGAGGTGGTCGTTTTACCTTATCAAAAGAACCAACATCTGGTGAGTATTATTTTATAGAAATGAAACTAACAGGCAACAAAGACTTTAGTGTATAATTGATGAGAGAAGTTTTACCAACACCACCCTTTCCACCCACGAATATCCAGTGCAAAGATTTTTGGTCTAGCACATTTTGTAAGGTAGGTTCAAGCTTCTCGAATTCTTCGTCAGAGGATTCGTGCGACATGTTGATAGTAGTGCAAAGAGAAAGTTAAAACAAGATTTCTTCTATTTTAGTAAGTAAAATATACTATGGAATGATAGAATGACTGATTTGAACTTTTGAAGCTTTTTATCACGTTAATTTTACACTAACCAAATTTGGCTAGATTAATTTACTATATATATGCTAATGGTACAAAAAATCAAAAAAAAATTTATGTTCGATTTTCTTTACGATGTCGGATTTATCACTTAAGACTACGCCTTCCACTGGCTTTTATAATATAATAGTTAGCGGAAAATCTTTTAATTTGTCAACTACAGCTCTTTACTCTGATAGTCCGAACTATTTCACTGACGTGTTCTCTTCTCCCTTAGAAGAGTCGCGTACAAAGGTTATGTTCGTTGATAGGGATCCAGAAGTGTTTAAGGATATCGTGAGTGGTAGAACAAAGTCAAAATATTGCGGGTTTGAAGATTATCCTGATGAAGGTTGAAAAAGTTTTTCTTAGAAGAATTTATTTATATTTATTACCATTAGGTAAAACATTTGCAAGGTTATTATGTAACTCCTCGTGACGAGGTAATTTTTTTTTTTCTCTTTTATTTTTTTTTGAATAATCATTTTCCGAATTAATTTTGAATATACTATTATATTTGAATTATCTTTTAGAATCATTATGCGGATCTTATAGCCGATGCAACTTATTACAATTTAATGAAATTGAAAGCACAATTACGCGCAAACTATATTGTTAACGTTGGAGGAAAAGTTTTTCGAGTTGATAAAGAAATTTTGGAAAAGCGTGATGCACCAAATTTCTTTACTTCCTTTGGTTATTATTATTATTATTATTATTCAAATTATTAAAAAAAAAAGCTATATATACTTTTAAATAAATAATAACATTTAATAATTAATAGGATTTGGATATGGATGGGAACCATCGGGGATACCGCCTACCCCTTTGCCGTTAACAATACCACCACCTATACTTGATCGTGATCCGGAATTATTTTCTGATATTTTGCGATATCTTCAAGGATATGAAATTGGTATTAAAGATGAAGTTCATAGACAAAATTTACTTAAGGATTCACGATTTTATCATTTAAAAGGATTAACTGAAAAATTATTGGCATCTAGTATGACAGTGAATGGTTTTTCTAAAGAAGAAAGCGCGAGAAATGAGATATTATTTCGTTTAAAAGATATTAGGCCTGCAAGTGTTTTGTTACCAGAGAATAATAATAATTATAACAATAATAATAATAATGACGATATATTGTCGGAAGAAATTTCCACGGGGTCCACCAGTCACATAATGTATAAAAATAAAGAAGGAACTGTTTACGTTTTGTTAGTTGAGATACATAATATTCATCTAATTTGTAGATATGGAGCACCATCATCTCCTATGACGGCTACAACCACTCCAACCACAAATCCCGCTACACCCACCAATGCATCGAAGATTCAACCATTATTGCGACCAGTTTTGGAGCTAGTTTTATCCGATAAGGACATACAAAAACTTAAAAATATTGCTAAATCTATCAAAGCTTCGGAGGAAATTGTTACAACAATTCATTCACCAGATACTTGCGCATTTGAAATAGATGGTAACAAGTGCACTTTAGAAGCGTTATCAAATACCGACAAGTTATCACATCTGATGAAAAATGATGATGGTAATCGATATTTAAAACTTTATGTCACGAGATCTATTTTAAGATTAATCACTAATAATGGTAAGGTAGAAATGGAAATGCTTAAATGTGAAGCCTTTAGCTCGGAAAGAGGATTTAATTGTAAAAGAGAATTCCTACCAGATGAAAAAAGGATTGCGCTATAGATTCAAGCGAATCAAGAGTTTAACTTGTAATAATATATATATATTTTTAAGTGATTTTGGGACAAAAATTATTAGATTAATAAAAATTATTAATATTATTCGATCCATTATATTGATAAATCATCATCAGGATCCTCATCATCAAAATCATCATTTTTATCAGGTTCATAAAATATGTTTCCGCCACTAGTTGTAGTATTCTCCCGATTTTTTTCTTCATATTGATCTAAAGAAAAGAATTTTAATATTAATTAATCCATAATTTCATGAGACTTAAAATAATTAAAGTATATATATTTTACCTTGTATTTTAACATATGGAAGAACGAGTTCATTTTTCGCCTTTTTCTGTGATTCTGTTAATGATAAATTAAATAACAAATTCGCGGTAGTTGGGTCGGGCTAATAGATTTTAATATATGGAAATTCGTTTAAATTATCTAAATACATACATACATACAATACATACAATACATATACGTATATAAATTCATAAGTTCTTACCGTATTACTTTCAGGGTCTAGATCTTCTTTTACATCTTTAACTAATTGGATTATCATATTACCATAAGATTCATCAATATGATATGAATTAGTCTATAAATATACAAAAAGCAAAACTTAATTAATTTATGTTATTATATTATACACGTGAATATTAAATGATTATACCTCATATAATACTTTTCCGGATTTTTTTCTATGTTCTATAATACAAATAGAATTTTCAGGAAAATTCATATACGCATTAATAATCGCGTTATTCTCCGTTATGATGTAACCATGTGAAGTTGATTCTTTACGAAATTGTTCGGTATTTTTAATTATTATTGTGGTAGATGCTATATGGTGTAATAAAGTATTTCTTACATTAAGATAACCTGATATTCCAGATGATGGATAATTTGGTATATCAGAATGATAAACTGTTATTATAAGATTTGAATTCGTATTCGTATTTATATCTGGTATATAGAAAGTAAAAAAAAAAGTTAATATTTAAACGAATAATTAAATAATTTTTTATTAAAAGTGTTTTGTTTACCTGATAATGTCAAACATGATGAAATTCTTTTCAAAAAATTAAATGTTAATGAAGTATCAATTAAAAGTAGGGGAGAAATCGAATCGATTATTAAAGTATAACTGGAATATGACACTAAATGTAAAATAAAAAATATGGTAATATGTTAAATATATTTTTTTTAAAAAAAAAAATAAATACAAAATTAAATTGATTATATACATTTTTTAATTGTGTCTTTAAGAATATTTATAATTTCGGATGTATCTTTGATATTTTTTATGAAATTATAATTAAGATCTGAGATTATATCATTCTCAAAATCATATGAATCCGATTTAGAATACGCATCAAATATTACTAAACTTAAAGGAAATAATTTGATTAGTCACTTTTTTTCATTAAAATATTAAAAAAAAAAAAAAAAAAAAAAAAAATTATGTACTTTTTATTTGAATTGATATTTTCCAGAAACCACTCAGGTGAAAATTCAAAACATAATAATAAAACACACCGATTTCTATCGGGGTTTAAAATAAAATAATTAAATTAGTTTCGTTGAAGTAAAGATAGGAAATAACTGATAACATACTGGTTCTTTGCAACTTTTTTGATAAATTCTTTCAATAACACATAACCCGACTGTAAAATTGTATCTTCTATAACAATGAAATTTGCTGATTCTTTATGATTTAAAAGACGTTCTAACAAAGGTGTAGTCATTTTTTTTTTTGATTAAAAAAAAAAGACGTTGATAATCAATCAATCAGCTTAAAACCGGTAATAAAAAGTTTAATGTCATAACGCGAGCCAAACTATTTATCACTACATCGTGATGAATACTATGGAAAAAGCTCCGGTTACAGATCGGTCACGTGCAATTTGTAATACTTGCTTGTACTTTGTTAATCGAAACGAAAAAAAAATTCTTATCTAATTGATGGCAGATAATAATACTCTAAATATTACAAACTCATTAGAATATGAGTGTGTTGAACCAATTAAAAAAATAAATGATCAAGCTGATGTTAACGAATGGGTAAATACTGAAGCTTTTCGGAGGTTAATGAAGTTTATTGAACTTTCGAACGAAAGTGTCATAAATCGAAAGATTTCTGATCCATGTCTTGTCTCTGAGGTAAACGATAATAAAAATACAAAATAGAAGTTTAAGTAGTTTAAAGTGATAATTTTTTTTTTTATTTCTAAATAAAATGATTACTTTATAGTTTGTACAAAGAATTATCAATATGTTGGACACTATGTTATCTTGGATTGACGAGATCCCACCATTACCCACACCTCAAAGGTTTGGTAACAAGGCATTTCGTACATGGATTGCTCGATTAGAAGAGGTAATAATAACAATAATAACAATAATAATAATGATAATAATAATAATATGTACTGTATATGCGCGCATATATACATATACATATATATTGACGCGTGTAATCTTTACTTATTATAGAATTCTGTCAAATTACATCAAGATATGTTACCCGAACATTTACATGGAACTATTGTTGAACTTGTCGCATATTTTAACGGTGGATTTGGAAATTCTACAAGAATTGATTATGGAAGTGGACATGAATTAAGTTTTGTAGCATGGTTATGTTGTTTAAGCTTAATAGGAGTAATTAAACAGGAAGATTATACAGCTGTCATATTAAAGATATTCACAAAGTAATTTATTTTATAATGTACACATATATTAAAAAAAAAAAAATTATGAGTATCATCAATTCATTATAATTATATAGATATTTAGATTTGGTAAGACGATTACAACGCGTGTATATGCTTGAACCAGCTGGCAGTCATGGCGTGTGGGGATTAGATGATCATCAATTTCTTTCTTACTATTGGGGAAGTGCACAGCTCAAAGGTATATATCATGTGTTCACGTTTCTTAATAAAAAAAAAAACAATGTGTACATAAATAAATAATATATACATGTATACAACAAATATATATATATATATATATATGTATATATATATTTATAACACATACATTTTTTATTTTCATTTTAAAAAAAAAAAAAATTACATAATTTAATACAATTTATATATTATTTATTATCCCAGATCATCCCAATCTTAAACCAAAATCGATATTATCGGAAGATTTTGTCAATATGTATGCAGGAGAATATATTTACTTTGGATGTATTAAATATATACATGAGGTAAAAAAAAACAAAGGAGAAAAAATAAAAACAAACAAACAAAAAAAAAAAAAAAAAATCTTTTACAAATTAGTTAAACCGAATTTTTTTTTTAATTTAGGTCAAAAAAGGACCATTTCACGAACATTCACCTTTATTGCATGATATATCAGAAGTTCAATATTGGGCAAAAGTTAATTCAGGATTATTAAAAATGTATATAGCAGATGTATTAAAAAAATTTCCTATAGTTCAACATTTTTTGTTTGGTAGTTTATTACCTTTCAAGGCAGCAAATCAAGGGGGATAAAATATAATATAATACAATATAATATATATATATATATATATATTAGAGAAATTCGAAATTCTATAAATAATATTATTTACCCGAGATTTTAAAATTGAATCAGAATCTAAAAATAATTTGATTATCCTAATAAAAAAAATATATATATATGGGGGGAAATCGAATGATTGATTAAAAGTAGAAGATTTTAAGATGATCCGCATTTGATGTAGTTAGAAGTATACACGTGTAAATAAGAAAAGGAAAAAGGCGTAGGTACAAAAAAGTAAGATGGCTTAAGGAAAAATATTTACGATATTAAACTTAATTTAAAAAATTGTGGAGAATAAAAAAAAATAATTATTTTCTCAATGAATCAATGAATTTGTTTTAAATGATAAACAATTTGTTTGTTTTTTAAAATTTCGGAGACTGATCCGTAAAAACATTCATAATTAAAAAGAAATCAAATAAAAGTTTGGTATACATTGTTTGTGAAAATTATTTGTCAGCATTTGGTAAGCAATTGTTTTTTACATAATTATATTAATCGAAAAAAAATACGGTAAATTACTAATTTTGATCATCATAGAAGCATTTCATTGATTTGCGTAACTTTGCGAAAGATTTTTGTGGTTCAAAAATTAAGCAGCCGATGTGATGATAATATTATTGTGATAATATATTATTTTACTGTAACCAGTACCAGGGTATGCCCGAATTACGTGATATTAAGTTTCAAGTGATTGTATTTTTATAAAGGAAATAAGGGAAAAAAGAAAATTTTGCCATATTGCTTGTTCCAATCTTTTATTTATTATTATTATTTGGTAAAATAAAATAAAATTCTTTTTTTTTTATTTTTTTCTTTTGTTTTGCTTTGTTGTTTGATTACGAGATTTCTTACATTAAAAAAAATAAAATGAGGGCGATACATTTACAACCCCAAATTTAATTATTATTATTATTTAGATGGGGCTGTGTAGTTAAAATTACGCCAGGTGAATGATAATTGATGATCAATACAAGATGCATATTTAGGGCTATATACACATGTTGGTAATACAAAATGTACAATCGAATTTTTGAATTTTTAATTCTATGATGATCATTTTTATTGTATTTTTGTTTTTTTTTATTATTATTATTTCAATTAATAGAAAATCAAAATTGATCATGAAATGATCTAATCCCCGAGGAGAATAAAAGAAATTTAGAAATGGTATGATATTTTTTTTTTTATGTAAAAATTTACAAATGATTACTAATATTTTTAATCACCGGCATCGAGCGAGAATATATCGCAAAAAAAATAAAAGGATAAACTTTTATCCGGTTGATTTTAAAAAAAAATACGATTATACGCAAAACGCCGTTTTATCTTTACTTGTAAAAGAGTAGAAATAATGACACGCTTTTACGAAATCGAATTCTCATTTTACTCGGTAATTGGCGCGAAAATCACGATTTTTTGATTTATTTTCATGGGATAAATTTCGGTTATATACGCAAGTTACGAAAAATTATATCATTCTTTTATTATCACGTAATTTTATTTTTATTGTTTTTTTTTTTTTTTTAAAATTCACGTACTTTTCCTTATTTCCTCTTTCTGGGAATTTACATAAATCACGTGTGATTCAAATGAAAACCATAATCGTGAAAACATTAATAAAATTATGATTCGTATGATAAGTATGTTATTTGTGTACGCATACAAGTTATTCTAAACAATAAACTTTTATGCATAAAACCTGACTTAGAGAACTTTTTAAGAACCAATGCTTCTATATCTGAAATTGTCATACATTAATTTACAATACCTATAGAAACGCCAATTGTAGATTTGCATCTTTACAAATCCAAAATCTAAATTATCTAACTGTATCAGGAACCTGTATTTTTTCTTTGTTTTCCAATAATTTCCGCATAATTAATAGATTAAGTAAATAAATGGTTTTTATATCACACACACATATATATATGAAAATATATATATTATTTTTTTTAAAATGTACAAATATGTAAGTGAGAAGATTTTATCTGATTATATTTTAAAATTTCAATTTTTTCCTCCGGAAATTTTTCAATTTAATTTAAAATCAAATTATTCCGAGGAAATAATAATAATAAAATATATTATAAAAATTATTGGAATTCCAATTCTTGAAATTCTTGATCTAATTTAATGTTTAAATAATAATATCTTATTAAGTTATACACATTATATCATTTATTGTTCTAATTATGAAATAAAAATGTCACAAAATTGAAAAAAAACACGTTTTTTCGATCGATTTGTTTTTTTAATAATATTCTATATATATAAATTATAAATTATAAATTATATAAATTATATATTATATATTATGTATTATGTATTTATGTATTACTTTTATATAATATTTAATTCGTACAATTTTATTAAAAAAGGAAAATTTCATATTATATTTGTATCTTTTTCCCTTTTTTCTCATTCTATCTTTTTTCGAACGCGTCTATATCAATTCGGTTACACGTAAATATGATCATTTCCTTGATTGCAAAAAACTTTGTATAACCTAAAATAACCTGATGTTCCTGATCTTCCTTTTTTTTATTTACCCGTGTATCACCACATATTATTAATTATATACATTATTATACAATTTATATATTGTATTAATATATTCATTTCCAATCCATCCATAATATTCAAAAGATTTCCATATATTTGGTAAAGGAATTTAATTGGTTCTAAGTTTGAACATTACCAATTGATGGGGAGAATATTTTGGATTATTAATTAAAAAAAGTAATAATAAATTAATTATTATATTAAATAATTACCTAATTACTTTCCTATACGTTAAAAAGATTATAATGGTTATTTTTTTTTTCTTTTTTCAGTTTTTTTCCTTTAACACTGCCCCCTCCATAAAAATATTTATTGTAATTATAACGCCACTTTTGTATTCTTTTAAACCAAAGGAAATAATCGTATGTTTCTCGCTGGTCATACTCAAATAAAATTACTGGAATTGTATTACAAATAACCGGGATTATTTGGTATTATATTCATATTCATATAATAATAATAATATTATAATAAAAAATTTTTATGTGTGTTCGGTTAATTTCTTTTTTTAAGGTTTACGGATGTGCAACTTTGAAAAAAAAAATTTTTTTTTTATACTTTTTGACAGGTTAAGTTGGAAAAATTAACAAAGGAAATCATTTGGCGTTCATAAATAAATACAATATTATTTATATTGTATGCAGGTTATTTCACTTTTAGGAAATAACATATTGTGTCACCTCATAATTTTTTTTCTTTTTTTTTTTTTTTTA